TGTTGCGCCAGGCCCCTCCAAGAGCGAGGCCCCGGGCCATTGCCCCGCTGGCCACCCCCTAAGGCCGCCACTGAATACAGCCAAGCCGAATAGATGTATCGTATTTCGAACCACTTTTTAACTCTTTAATTAATTTTGGTGTTTTATTACTAGAAGTTTGGCGAAAACACTCGGCTAGACATCACCGAGACTCTATAGAAATCTCGGCGTACGACCGATTTTATTTTTATTCCCTTTCTTTACAAACTCGCGCGTTAACCTTATAAAACTGAACTTTAAAACGAAATGACGTCGATGCCGGCAAAATATTCCGTTTTCCGTTTTCCGTCCGAGCCGAAGGGCGGAGTGCGGTAAACGGGGAAGACAATCGGGATGTGGAGGAGGGGTAAGCGATTGGCTATAATAAATAAAGTACGGCGGCTAATTCCAGATATAATTATTAACGAAAATAGTTCACCTTGGTCGTTAGATTTTGGTGTAACTAATTTGGGAAAAAAGTTGGCTAGAGGAGAAGCTCTAATTTCCCAGGGAGTAGAACGACACGCGGACATTTTTACTATAACTTTAGTAAAGTTTGTAATACGAAGCCAAAGCGCCGAATACTGGTGGGTCGAGCGAACTTTAGAGTTTTCTTCGCGCGTCTAAAACCTAAACGGGAGCCAAATTCGCGTAGAAAAGCCTCCGAAACTTTCGACTCCACCCTCGGCCGTCTAATTTATAGAATGACCGGTGAATAGAAAGTCTGGGGTTTGGGTAATTGCGGAGATAAAAGTTAGCGACGGTCGGTGGAGGCATTTGGCCGTCTCTCGGGGATCGTACTCTCTACGTACCGTACGGTACTGGCCATAAGGTAACGACTCGCGCCGACGTTATTATTGTCAGTCGCTTTCGTTGGGCAAGCCATTGATCTTTCGCTAGTTTAATTAAATAAAATAGTCGCGTGGCTATCGGTATACAAATATTTGCTGACGGAAAATAATTCCGCAGCCATTAGTCGGCGTAGCTTAATGAATTACGTCGATAACCATATTAATTCGTGTTAATCTTTATATCTAAGAATATTCTTCGACGATAAATTAGATTTCAAAGTACGGCCGTTTCTTCTCTTCCGACTAAATTTACGTATTTATTTATTAAATCGGGACTCGAACCCGGATTCCTCCCAAGGACGAAACGTCGCTCTACGAGATTTCGTAAGTCCCCTCGATGGGTCCTTTCGTCCGAGTATTTAAATAAATTCGTTGTAACGGGGAGAAATGTTTTCCGGCGGAAAAACCGGCATAAAACACAAAATTGCGCGGAGCGTCGAAAGAGGAGGGAGAAACGACGGAAGCCAAATGGTCCGAAAAATAGGTTCTCCCGCCCCTTTTAACCAAAAGCGGGCTAATAATCCCCTAGACGGGCGGGAAAGGAAAAGTGACGAAAGCCCACGCCTGGTTTCTCGGTTTACTTACGAAGAAAGAACCGCCGAAATGAAGGGAACGTAATTGGAAATAAAAAATGAAAAGACGGTCGAAGAAGTAGCTTTACGCTTTCCCGCACCGTATTTACGGGCTGGGAAAATCGAGTCCGGAAGATTCGCGCGTAACGAGTAGACGAAGGAGAAAAAATGACATTTGAAGAACGGCCAATGCTTGTTTTCTCGTCGGCTCCCTTTTCTCGCAACATTAACGGCATCCTCTAACCCAGTGTTTCTCGACCTCTAACGAATCGTCGTCCCCTTCGACGTAATATCACCCCCTTCAGTAAAATCGTTACGTAGTATCGTCCCCTTGGCAACAAAATTCCCATGCCGAGGGGCGAGGCTAACGCCAAATTCGTACCGCATCGAATAGACTAGTGACTAGTATAATGTTATTTGTTTAATTATTGTACGATATAACCAATAAAATATCTAATTATTCTTAATATAATGTTTTACTATATCGCCCAGAAAATTGTTTTTCGCCCCCCAAAATGTAAATTGTTACTAATCGCCCCCTGAAGATGGAAAAACGCCCACACGGGGGCGATATCGCCCCCGTTGAGAAACACCGCTCTAACCTAACTATACGTACGAGAAGGTTTTCCTTTTATCGCCATACCGGAGGACGACTCCCACGTCACGCCTGTCACACCCGAAACGAGAGTTTCGTTAAGTTAGCTTCGGCTACGGAAAACGTAAGTAATGAGACCAGGATTGAAACTGGCGAAAACTACCGATTAAACCAGGCGAATAATATTAATTTAATAATAATAAAAGATTTTAAAACATAAATACAACATAGAGGCAGCGGCCGAGAGATGGAGGGGAGATGGAATTTCCATTTATTTCTTCGAGTAGAATGTTTAGGAAAGACGAAAATTCCGACTCCATTAGCGCTTTTCTATCTATTTGTACAATTAAGTCTCGAACGAACACGTCCTATCGGAGACGAAAGGTACGAAAATAACACCGAAGACGACGCAAAAACCGAGGAAAGTGTCCGACAGGGAAGAAATCCTTAATTAATTTCGACTCTGAATTCGAGTCGAACGTCGCTTAATGGAACCGGACGAAAAAAGTCGGGGTAAAGGTGGGTGGGACGAACGGCATTTTTGTCGACTAACGGAGGCGAACTGGGTTCCTCTTCCAAAACCAAAGAATGGCGGTAAATGTAAAATTCTAAGATGGAAAGGTTTCGTAACTGGATTCCCGTCTCCGTAGAAAAGCCACGGTTCGTCCAACCCGCAACCTTCGAAATCCTTCTCCGTCCCGAATTTTGCCCCGCCATTTTACACGCTCGCATTTTTCACCGTATCGTTTTCGCACGCGACCAGAAGCCGCGGAAAGAAAGGTCCGGGCCGGGATTATCGGAAAATTCGGTGGTGGGAAGAGGAGGATCCGCCTTCTTGGCGGAAAGGAATAGTTGGAAGAAAATCTCTCTTATCTTTTCCTTTCCGCGGAAATAAAGCCGGATAACAAGGAACCGAAAAATTTTAATCTCGATGACATTCCGCATTCGATTTACCAGGACAATCGTCCGGGTTTGTTTCTCCGCCAATGGACGGATAAACGGGCGGAATGCGGGCACCGTGGCCCGGGAAGGAAATTCCGAAAAAGAATACTTTTCGGGGCGAAAGTTTAGCCACGACGGACGTGGCAGAAAAGAGCCGTTTACCCGACTGGGCCGAACTTTAAAACTGGTCGTCTACCCCTTTCGCCGCCTTCCCGGCTGGAAAAGAGAAATAAACGGATAGGTAAAACTTGGAAGATAACCCAAGGTAACCCCGGAAGGAAAGGCAAAATGAACGGGTTTAGGACAAAGGACGAAATTCGGTAAGGGTTTGAGCGTAACGAGTAAAATTTGGGTGGAAACTCCGTAATCGTAGGACGGGTTGTCCGCCGACGAAGCGGTGCCCCACTCTCCCTCGATTCGCAACAGCGGAAAGAAGCCGGGGACGATAGGCGGGCGGAAAATGTCTAGAACCGGGTCCCAGTCGAATTTCGACGGACTCCGCCCCAAATATTAAACGACGAGTATCGAGAGAGTTGGGAAGAGGAGGGAGGAATCTCTTCCCCATCCGAAACGATAAACGAGTAATTAACGGCGACAAAATGGTGGCGGGGAAGGAGGGGAGGAGAGGAAGAAGCCGATCCCAGGGGAGGCGGACGCGTAATTTTATACGAGAGCCATCGATCACTCGGACGCGCATTTGAAAGGCGACGCCGCTACTTTTCTCCCGAATTTTGACGGATTCTTCGGCCGGTGTCGCGTGACCGAAATCTCGGAGACAAAAAAAAACCGCCGGCCGAGAGGAGATCTTCCGTCCGCTCCGCGTCGTCGGCGGTCGGCGCGGCCGGTGGCACCCCCGCCTCCGATTTACCGGGCTTCCGGTTAAATCTTGGTCCCGGGGCACCGGCGACGGAAAGGTTCGGTAGGAGTTAGGCGGGCCGGCCAGGTTGCCCGTCGGAAGAGCAAAATGGCGGCCACCGAGAAAAGGGAAAGAGAGGACGAAGGCTCCCGGGTAGCCGCGGAGGGGATCCGCCCTAACAAAGCTCGAACACCTGGAAGTAAACAAAGCGGCGTTCCTGTAAAATGCGTCGACCGATTACTTCTTTCTTCCCTCCGGAAAGTGCGCAAAATTCTTTCTTCGGGACGCCTCTATCCAGTTAAACATCGGCCAACGAGTGTCGACCATCGCCTTCGTCCCCCGGAAATTTTCCTCTCCTCTCGTCCAAACGAGTCGTCTCTTTCGGCTTTTTTCGGGCGCGGCGCGAATAATCGCCTAATTACCCGCGGCCCCGGCTCCCGGGCGCGGGGGAGCGCGGCGCGAACGGTGGCGGGACGTCCCGCGGAGTTCGCGCCTCCCGGTCTTTCGGAGGGCGGCGCCGTACCCAAATTCCTGCCGCGACCGAAATGTTCGGAATTCCCGGACCCGCGGGTATTAAAAGCTTTTGTAGTCGACTCTCCCTCCTCTCGTTTGTTTTACCCTCCTCCTCCCGGAAAGGTCCGGCGAACGACCTCTCCCGAAATCTCTGTAAACCGGTCGACGAACAATACGCCTTTCGTTCGGTGGCCCGTCTCTAGCGGACGACGCGTCGTTTCGCCAAACTCCCGTTTCCTGGGAAAAAGTAGGTCGCCTTCCCCCTTTAAATAAGCGCATCTCTCCCCCCCGCCAACTACATTTACCGGCCACGGCGGAGGGGCCCCCTTCTCCGCCGCTTAGTCGCTCGACCGCCGATACGAGTCTCCATCCGTGGACGCTAAAGGCTCCTTTTGCGGCCCCTTAATCTCGATTTTGCCCAGGTATTAGACGGTGGCATTTTGCTGCGGGTTTCGTAATATTTGAACGGAAAAGGGGAAGAGACGAGACTCCCCACCGAAGAGCGACTGCGGTTCTTTCGCGAGTCGGACGTTACCTTCGACCATGCCTTCCGTCGGGGAAGGTGCGACGGAGGAAGCGAGAATCGCGTCGCGGGCGGGGCGACGGTAAGCGCGGGATGTGGCGACCGTTGGAGTGTAAGATAGCCTACTTACCGACGCATTCGTGCGCCTCGTGAGCGGTGGCTCTGCCCCAGGGTCGGTCGAAGTGGAAAGGTTTGCACTTCTCGCAGTCTCGTCCGGCGGTGTTGTGCTTGCAGTCGCACACCAGGAGTCCGTCGCGGTTGTGGACGCAGCGGGAAGCGTGTCCGTTGCACTTGCACCTGCCTCCGACGGCCAAGTCGGAGACGGAGTAGTAGTGGCTTTCGCGCTGCGCGTAGGACTCGTTGTCGGTGGGTTCGGGGGTCCATCCGCTGAGTCTGTTGAAGACCACTTTGACGTCGGTGGCGGTGACCCAGTCCTGCAGCACGGGGCTGTTGTCGAAGTCGTAGGCGGACGGCCTTCCCTCCAGCGTGCTGAAAGCGATGCGCGCCCCCGAGGCGGGCTCCACGTTGGACTGGGCGTCGGTACAAAGGGGCTCCTGCTCGTTGGCCTTGGTGATGATGGCCCTGTTCTGGCGCCCGTACATCTTGCGGCACTGGCTGGAGTAGTACTGGAAGGGGTGCCACGTCTTGCCGTAATCCATGCTCTTATAAATGGCCAGCGAATCGGGTTTCTGGTTACAGAACTGCAGACTGATGTAGGTCAGTTCGTACTTCTTGCCCAAACTCAACGTCAGAGAAACGTTGTGTAGCGACTGCCCGAAAGGCTCCGACATCCAGCAGGTGACGTTGTTGGGGTTGTTCAGGTCGGTCAGGTAAGCCACCGGGTGTCGTCGCTTGGGGTGGCCGGCGTCGCAGATCTGGCAGTTCCGCACGATCTCTCCCTTGTCGTCGCCGGACGTGACGCAGTAGCGACTGGGCGGGTTGCCGCACTCGCTCGACGCCTTGACTTCCTTTCCGAAGGCGGCGTTGACGAAGTCGGGAATGCATCTGCGGGGTTCGTTGGTTTCGTCGTAACAGGGATCGGGCGGGTTCTGCTGCACGGCGAACATCCCCAGGAAATTGGCCAAACACAGCGGCAGGTACAGTCCGACGAGCGCGGCCACGACGGCGGGCGACATGTTGCGTGTCGACGGCGCGGCGGTCCCGTTCCGAATGAGCCGAGAGGGTGACGGCTCGCGCGCTACCCGCCTAACTACTTCCCCCGCCTCGCCCCGCACCAATTGTGGCACACGACGGGTGCAGTCCAACCGTTCCCTCCCCCTGCACCGCGGCGGATCGATTGCGGAAGCACGTGTTTGGCCGGACGCGCGGATAACCCTCCGACCGGCCACGGCTGGCGTCGCCGCCGACCGGGAACTCCCACCCTCCCGGTTAATCGGGCCGGGGATCCCGTCGAAGGCGGAGTTCGGCATCCCGCCTCCGCCGCGCCGGACCTGTTGAGTCGACGTGACCGCGTCCAACGATGACGTAAGGCCGACTTTCGGGCCGCCCGCGTCCCGATTTGTTCCACCATTCGAAGGTCGCGCCCGTCCTAAATATGGCGCGACCGCACGGTTCGTCCGCTTTTCCCCGCAAACGACACACTTCCTACCGGCGTGTTCCTCGGTAAATACGAGGAAAGGGGTGGGTTTGGGGAAAAGAAGAGCGTTATGGCCGCTACTCGGCAGTTTTAGCGAAATTTAAGCGCGGAAATAAAGCAGAGACCGACGAATTTTGCAAATATTTTTGCCGATAGAAGAAACGTGCGTTTGACCAAAATACGCCGTATAAATCGCTTCCTTTGGGCGCGAGAAAGTTCAACTCGTCCAGAATGTAATTGAAGGATTAGCCCTCCCCCAGAAGAGCGCTTTAATTCTCGCTGTTTTTCTTTGGCCGAGCACTTCCGGCGTAATCGGAATTGACCGCGTGGGAAAAGGCGCCGTTACAGAGTCTTCCCCGGCGGTTGTCCATTTTTCAGATGAATATCGGACTTGGAAAAAATTCCGCCCGGCCAATAAACTTGCCGCCGTCGGACCCACAAACGGATCGTTCCCGAGATAAAGTCCGACTCCGCCCGTCCCCGGCGCGTTCGTAAATTTGCCCCGGGACCGGTCGGTGGCCGGATCTTACGGGACTCGTATTTAAAAGCGGCGGAATTTCCGTCGGTAGAAAAGGCTTAGTGGGCGACCGGGCGCGATGCGTGCCTCCTTCTTCCCCGCGATACTTTTCGTCCGTCCGACTCGTGACTCACTTCTCTTTTCATCTTTTACGCCGCCCCTTTGTCCCTTTTCTCCTTTCAACGGTGCCTTTTATACCTTTTTTCTTCTGCCCCCTTTGTTTATCGTTACTCCCTCCGCCCTTTTCTCTCGCTGGCTCGCCTTCCTTTTCCGCCGAAATCTAGACCACTTTTAGGAATGCGCGAAGGGGGGGGGGAAATCGCCGACTCGGCTTCTCCTTTTATCCGTTAAGCGCGTACTCGGAAAGAAAGAAGGCCGCGAAATCGATAAAGTCGGGAAGGCCGAGGAGGGGCGAGGCGCGGATAATCCGTCGAGCCGGGGCCGCGGCGCGGACGGAGCCCGGGAGTGTGTCGATGGCCGGTATAAAGTGGATTAGAGCAAAAATGTCTTCATTCCCGCGCGTATTGTCGACGTCCCGGAAGACGGGGCCTTTACAAATCGGGCCATCCTCTTTGTGCCGCGTCGATCCCCTTCTTCGGGGTCGTTTGTCACCGCCGCTCGAGCGGAAAACGTACGACGGGCGCGACGATTATTGGCCGCATGTAATTAATTTGGCCCGGATCGGCCGACGTTTTCCGCCAGATTAGGATAAAAGAGGAAGAGAATTCGAGTCCCCGGGGCCGAGTCTAAGTCGTCTTTCCTGTATGGCGTCCCGCCTAATGGAACTTTTCGATAAAGAATCGTATAAATTCCTCTCGAATAAAGTGAAGTAAACGTCTCCCGAGATTTTCCGAATTTCCAAGAGAGCGCGACCGTAAATAAATATTCCGAGTCGAGTCTCTCCCTTTCCCTCTTCCCTCTTCCTCGGCTTAATTACGTCGTACCCGCGCCCGCTTCCATCCCGGTCTCGGCCGGCTTAGGAAGTACGTAATCCAAGCCGGGGAAGTTAAACGTTCCGACCGGAAGCGCCTTCTTCGCGCCATCTGGCGTCGGCGATTAAAGCCATAAAGTCGCCGCACCGGACCGAAATATTTTCGCTTGGCGTCTGCGCCGGCCAGCGAATCGTTCGTAGTTAGCGACGAAGCAAAATTCCCACGGCGCGGGTTCGAATTCCGCCGGTCTGAACCGGTTTGATTTCCCAGCCACGACTTTAAGCGTGTTTGGCGCGGACCGAATTTGCGATTTTAAAAATAAAACTGTAACGGAGAATAATGGGGGAAAGCGGTGGCCATCGGCGATGAAACCGTTCGTTTCTCGAGTAATAACAAAAACGAAAATAATTTTATTTATTCCGGCCTTAAGCTTGGTTGGCGTTGCCGAAAATTAATGAAACGCTTTATCTCGTATCGGTTATTAACCGACTAATCGCTGGACGTCCGTCGCTCACTCGCCGATTCGATCGCACTCTTATCTGGAAATCGCCCGAAAAATAAAAATAAGTAACTTGGGCTTAAAATTTAACGTATTTAATCCGGCGATAAACAAATATAAAAAGCAAAATGACGCGTAATGGCTTATTCCCATGGCGATAGCCAGAGACGACTTTTACGGAAACGATTCTTGTAAGGATTTTTAAGCGTCGTTACCCGGAAAATAGGTTTGACTAGCGAGTTGGACAAAGGGGAGGACGGCGACTCGGACCGGGGGTAAGAGGATTTGTCAATTGTTAGTACGGTAAGTCCGCTTTTTCTTATTTAATTAGGCGTAGATATGGCGCAAAGGACCTACGGATAGCGACTTTATCGGAGTTCATTTTACCTTATTCGCGTTACTGTCCGTTACGCGTAAACGCTAAGGTTCTTAAGAAATGATCCGCTGGTAATTAGGTGGCGTAATTAAAATAAACGAAGTAATCGGACGGACGCTTACCACGCGTTCAAACGGGCTCTTCTCGCGTTACGTTACGTCCGGCCAATCCAACCGGTCGTTACAAATAACGCTTTCTTGGATGGGCCGGACGTAACGTAACGCGAGAAGAGCCGGTTCGGACACGGCCTTATTTCGATAGAGTATCGTTACGTTATCCTATCTTTTCCTTTAACGTTACGTTAAAGATACGGATAGTAGACGGGTGGGTAATTCTGATCCGGGCCACGCTCCCTTACGCCAATTAGCGACTTATCCGTATTTAAATCGATTGGAACCCCGTTTAAAACGCTGGTTTGGTGGCGGATGGCCGATGGTTTTGCCGGAAATGGAAATGGCGCGGCCCGAGTTATATTTTCTACGCAAACGATTAATAGAAGCGCCACCGACTTTCCGTTACCGAACGAAAATTCCGCCAATGGAATTGGCCCGACCTCTTCCGTAACCAAAGGGAGAGAACTTTTAAGACCGCATCCGAAGGGATTTTTCTTCGAAGGTCGAGCTTCCTCCACTCTTAGAGGAGTCCGGAGGTCGATATCGCGGAACCAGCGGATCGACAGACAGCCGTACCTTTACATTCGCGCGTCATCCGTCGATTGCCTAGAAAGTGTCTACTTTTTACACGGCGAGAAGTCGATAAAAGTAAACTAACGCTATTTTCACCAAGATTCATTTTTCTAACAAATACGAATAATAAATAGAAAGTGCTTTATACGTTGCAAAAAGAAATACTAAAACTTGTAAGGTTCTATCGCTTTCCATCATTAGCATTATATACACTGGCTACTCCCCAGTTCCGTCCCTTTTTCGCAGGCGATGGCCACCGCGCTTTCGTCTTCTCTCTATCGTTGCCGAGGATGTGGAAAATAGAGAATGTACGAGAGTCCGTAAAAGTGGCGTACGCGGTAGAGACGTCGTCCCTAACAAAGATAACGCCACCCGGCAGATACGTCTCCAGATAGAACCTTTAGGATTTTTGGCGGCCGCTTCCAGACGTCCTCCGATCTTACCGGGTAGACGAGAAGGCGCGTGGCGCCCTCTTCACCACGGAAAATTTTGCCCGCTTAGCCGGCCTACGATGGGGCGGATGTTTTTTATTTATTTTTTGTAAATATTGGTAGAATATAGCCTAAATATAAAGTACGAGTTACCAGCGTTATTTCCAACGTAGGTCTACCGTAGCGTAGTTAATTACGCGTTAGTTGGCGTATAAGAGCGCGTCGTTTTAAAATAATTTTGCTTGGAATTTCGTATATCTTTTGTTTTAATGTACGTAAGGCCTAGAAATATGTATTTGTTGGTTACAAAATCGTTTAATTAAACTGGTCTGGTAAAAATACTATGTAAATTTACCGGGATCGATACGAAAAAGTGGCCATTTTAATAAATAAAAAACGTTTGTATTTTGTCTATTATTCGGCTCTTATTTTGCGGCCCGATGTCCGGCGCTCACTGGCCGTGGCTGGGTCGACCGCCTTCCCTCTTATCTACGCCGGCGATTAAAATCCTTTTTACGTTGTCGTCGTATATTTTAAAATTTTTCGTAACGACTTCCAGCTACGTATTTCGTATGTAAGGAGTAGATAATATTATACGAACCATCACCGTTCCGGTCCGATTGCGCGGAGCGGACAGTGGCTACAGACACTCCGGAGCTCGGTGTTCGGAATACGGGCTAGGCGGTCCAAGACGTTACTGGCGGTTGACGAAATTTGGCAAAGAAGCGTCGTCGGCCCCAGCCAAACGGAATGGCCGTTTCGTCGTTCTAACCCGCGGCCCGTCGCGTTAAATTGCGCGGCCCGCTAAGCGATATTTTACGTCTATTAAAACTTTTGTCTCCCGTTAAGTTTATACCGAAACGATTAAATAAATGAAAATTTGCGCGAGTCGTTGTTATAACGCGCCGGTGCCAGTACCGACTGGCGGTATAACAATAAAATCTTATTCGTTTCGTATTTGTTTTACCTTTTTAAAAGCGCGTTTGCCGAAACCGCGGCCCGCCGTAACGTTACGCGCGATGGAAGTGTCCCGCCAAACAATTTGGGTGGGCCGGGCCCGTTCTAACCCCCGTCCGACGACCTTGGCGCGGTAAAGATCCGCCGGAGGCGGTGGAG